CCATAATTGCCCTCTTTTTTCTCCCAACCAACCCCCCTTACTCCATGTTCCCTATGCCCACGTCTCTCTACTAACTTTCCCCCTTTCTCCTCCATGATTTCTCTATCGCTTTCCCTTCTACGAAAATCAGAATTTGTAGTTCTTCCCATCGGTCTCCTTGTCTCTGATGCCACCGTTTGAATTTGATTGTCCAAGATCTTCTTCACCATCATATGAAAATCGAAGAATTTGTCTTTTCCATTGACAACATTTTTTCTTCCACAGATGAAACCTTCGTCTTCTACGAACGAGAGTCGATCTTCCATCGTAGCTTTTATCTGACTCATTTCCCCTTCAAATCGTTTTTCCAATGCATCAACTTCTTGGCTGCCATAAGAAATTCTGGATATTAGATCCAAAATTCAGCAAGATCCCTTCTTCCGATCAGAAAATTGCTGCTGAATTTTCAGAAAAATCAGCCTACAACGGTCTAGAAATTCCTCTGATACCAATTTCATAGGAAATACTTGGGTCTGCAAGTAAACTTAACGGGAAATACTTGAGTTCGCAAGCAGACCTAACAACAATTGGTGAAAACAGCGATAAAACAACAAGATCTCCAATGAAAATAATCTAAAAAACAGTAGATTGTATTATAGGAATCAAACCAAAAGCAAGAACAAGCAAATATACAATTGATCCTCTATTCAAGAGGAGAATTGTTCTCTCCCAATCTCTAGACGATGAATCTAGAGCCCAAAACAAAGAGAACTCTAAGAGAACACAATAAGCATGCATGCCCTAACCTTAACCTCTCATTCTCTTTTAATACATATCTTCCTAATAAAAAACTTCCTAAAGTAAACCAAATTCAAAACAGCCTCCACGTGCTTTAGCCACTCTCTCCCCTCTATCTATTTGCTGCCCTAGGGGGGGCCCACATGCTTGTGCAACACTTCTAAGGAGTTGATTTAGCCCGCCTCTTAGAGAGGTGAACTGGCCCAGGTTGGGTCGGTTTCGTCGGTTCAGGGAGAACCGTAACATCTCTCTCCCATTTTCTATGTGGAAAACCCAAAGCAAGAAGAAAAACTTCAAGCTAGCAAGAAATACATTTCTGCTGGTCGAAAACAACCATCTCCCTCTCATGTAGTTGGAAAGCCTGAAATCCTCAAGTAGAAGCCTTCTCGATTTCACCTTAGTCACTGCACTACCTGTTCCCTTTGGAAACACAAAAAACAAGCAGCCACCTCCCTCTTATTTTTGAAAAAAAAAAAACCAGAAGGAATAAAGAGCCCCTTAAAATTTTCTTTTGCAACACCGCTCTAAACCTCTTGTTTTTCTCTAAAAGAATCAAAGGAAGAAGCCCACAACCCTCTCAGTTTTGCTTGATGCACTCCCGCTTCTCTTTGGGAACCCAAAAATAGAACCATCCTCTTGTTAAGAAAAAAAAGCTCGCCCTCTTTCATTTCGTTCGCTTAGTAGTTGGCAAGGAAAGCAAAGGAACGAGCAAAATAATGATCCCAGCCTCATGTCATTTGGTGTTCGATGGCTATGATATTATTTCATTACCCTTGTTGGCCTAGAGTTGTTATTTATTATAGAGGGTCATGGGAAAGGCTGGAGGGTAACAAGTACAACAACTGCGCCTCCCGTCATTGGATCAGATGACCCAATTTAGAAAGGACTGGGAAGATCAACACAAGAATTACCTAAGTCATATGAGTTAGTTTGAGCCCGTTTTGGGTTGATTGAGCTTAATTAAACTCGAATAGACTAGATTTAATTCAACTGAGCTCAACTAAATTTGATTCAAATTGATTTAGTTTAATTTGACGCAATTCAACTCAACATGATTTACTTTAATTTGACGATATCAGAAAAGATAAGAAGCAACACATGAGCAGAGAAGTGAGGCACAATACTGACCCTGGTTTTGGAGAAATTAGGGTGTAGGCACCCCTATTTTAGTTAATTTGTATCATTATTTCTTTCAAATAATTAATAAATATTTATTTATTCAAAAACAAGTGTGCATGCATGTACTCTCCAGTAAAATTTTCATCCATCACATGTGTCAAATTTTTGATCTCCCCTTGTAGGCCAAGCCAAGTGATGCAGATGGCCTCATCAATCTATTTCAATGTTCCAAACTAATCGAGATAATTTGTTTGACAAAATAGATGAAATCAATGTTTTTTTTTAATGTGAATAGGACATTATGAGTCAATTCTTCACAAAATAATACCCATCTTGATGCAGACATCCAACCGTCCATGGCTATCCGAGGAGCTGAAGATCAACGGTTGTCATTGTCCCACGCTATCTTATATTTTATTTGTAATTTTTAAATTTTTTTATTATGATTTTTCAGTTCTTACCCTCACTTAAGAGGGTCGTCCTATGTAAGCCTTAGGGGCATATGTGTCTTGTTTTAATTTCTTAGGCCTATATATAGAGGCCCTTTCTTATGTAATGGGATGATGAATGGTTAATGAAAATTTGCTTTTTACGTTCTCTTTGTGAGTTCCATCTTTTAGATCTCTTAGTGAGTTCTTTTTCTTTTGAGATCTCTTAGTGAGTTCTCTATTTTGTGTTCTCTTTGTGAGTGCATCTCTCTCTCAAATCTCTTAGTGAGTTTTGAGAAGAGCTAGATCTCTTTGTGAGTTCTAGACCTTCTTCTCCATTATCTTTGTGATCAATTGGTGTGGGAAATCAAGGTGAATCCGTGGCATAGTAATCCCTAGTAGAATTGCCCTTTTCCTCCCTCCTTGGATCCTTGCCGCCGCCCCTTTCCCCTAGCCAACCGCCGGCCAGCCTCCCGCCGACCAACCCAGCACCCCATCCCGCCGGCCTGCAGAGCCCTCCCGCGGGCCAGAAAACCGCCCAGCAGCCCACCATCCACAGTGGAGTCCTTGCCGCCGGCCACCCGTGAAGCCTTGCCGCCGGTTTCCCTCTAGCCCACCTATTCGAATTTTGAATTCTCCTCCCCTAATGAATTTCCTAATTAAGTCAAATTAAATTAGGATATTAATTACGGGGAGTTACAATCTTTTT